ACGGGTCAACCTGTACATGTAGCTCAAGTCTACAAAAATAAACTACTATTACGTTTTTTAATACATTATACTTCTGAAAGAAGCTCGTTCATCTGAATAAAAAAAACTTTCTCTCTAAGGATTTTCATCTGCAATATCCATCTGTGTCTAAAATGTAAAATGTAATTTATTTATTTGATTATTTACTTATTAATTAATTTATATCAATGGAAGACAAACATACCTGCGTTTCCAGTTCCTCTTTTCTCTTTTTAGCTTTGCTGTTAAGAATGTAATATTTGAAATCTATGTATCCATCAGGTTTTTCATCAAACGGCGCTGGCATAAAGATACCAAGTACTTCAGTCAACATAAACGGTTTCAACCATGTTACAAGTGGAGTACGACCTTTAGTATATTGTCCATCACGATGATAAAATAGTAAACCATCCAAAGGAGATATGTTTGGAAGGTTTGCTAATTCTGAACTTACATCTAAGTTACAACTAATATTTGGTAGAGATAATATTGGAAATGTATTTAAGGGCATATTTCTTTCTTGTAGTTCTTTTATTTCTTGTAATTGCGATTTTAACCAAAAAAATCTAAATTCAGTCTGAAATTAAAAGTTCTTTATACTATGATTGGTAGATTACAATTGATTTTTAAATATAATTAATTATAAACAATTAGAAATCTTACATCACAGTTTATAAGTGATTGATTACACCATGCAAGCACATCCAAGACATAATATATTTTTTGTTGTTTTATCCATATGCAATCAATGATGGTGCAATTACCTCTGTGACTTGAAGGATTACCACCTGGAAGTGCTGAATAAAATTTTCCAAGTCGATTGCCTCTTTTATTATACGCTTTGGTTATACCCTACAAATAATATGCAAAGTATAGCACTAAATAGAAGAAATTATTTTTTACTTTTAGTAGTCTTTTAGTTATCTTTTTTTTAGATTAATACTTCTCATGATTTCATGGCAACCATGACTAGATATATTATAAATTCCTTACATACCTCTTTTTAAATTTAATATTAAATAGTTAATAAATTAAATTGACTAGTAAACAATTAGAACTTAGATGAAAGATTTATAATTCTGAATTTAAACAAAAGTCCTGTCATACAAGGGTTAAAATTCATTTAACATTTTTTACATACTTTACATGCAACCAATAAAATTCTTTTGCCTTCTGGACAGGGAACCATTATCCACTTTTCCACAAAATCTTGAGGTACATCCAACATCCATTCAGACATCATTAACTGATTTGCATAACATTTATATCGTTTGAATGAGTAATTTCTTTTTTTGTTACTTTCGTCAATTTCCATATCTTCGTCAAGTTCATCTTCAGAATTAAAGGCATCTTCCAATATTCCACGTCGAACATTAAATGTACTGTCCCTACACCTAATAAATATTATTGTTATATTTACGAAATGACATGGTAAGTAAATACAAAAAGTGTATACATACCTTTTTTGAAACTGTAACAGACGTTGACGTCTTAATTCTTGAGGAGTGTCAATATTTTGTATGTTCAGATTATAATTATCTCTCTTAATCGGCTTTTTATAAAATATAGCACGTGAATTACCATTTTCTTTTTCATTTAATTTTCTTAAACTATCTTTCACTTCAGTTGCCATAATTGTTTAATATTTATTATATGACACTGGACTGTATATGGAAATAAATTAAAATTTTGAAAATTTTATTACCAAGGGATTTAATTTTTGTCTTCAAAGATTAAAAGATTTGTACGAACCTTTTCACAATATTTTCACAATAAATTTATGTAATTTATAAATGAAATAAAAATTATTCTTATACATTTTAATTGTTCAAATGATTCGCATTTAATATCGTGTAAAAATTTATTTACGTACATTTATGCTGGCATTCCATCAACATTCATCCATAAGCTGCGACAGTGATTTTTTTTGTATGTATATATATGGGGCAACACATTAATTATTTTTCACAATCACTATGTATATCAATGGTTATTGAAATGCAATGTACTGACAATTACCTACACAATCAGATTATTCTACGTCACATGATATGATTGGCAATAAAGGCATGTAATCAACAAACAACTTTGTGTTGTTGCGCGATCGCATGAACTTACGTACGATCGGTAGGATAATGATATAATTTTGGCAGTATTGCCAATAGAACGTAAAAACGAAATTTTAGGCATAGAATATTGTACTGTACATACAATGCTGTTCATGCTTAGAGCATATAATATATAATGCTCTAAATGTCATGTAAGACTTGTACTGTAATAGAAATCTTTTTGCGTACTCTATACTGACACGAGCACCATGAAGATTGTTTAATAAAAATCGTGTTATACATTTTTATACAAAAAGAGTTCTGATTCCTTCGCAGGAGTAAATCAGAGTAGGGTTGTAGAGTTGCACGAGTTCCGATTGGTCCCGATAATACATACATAATACGTAGCTGCTACTGTTATTCCCTATATGTGAACAACTACATATTACCTGCATTTATTTTTAGAAAAACATAAACAAATATCGCACAGTTTTTGCCCTCGCTGTGATTCTCGCAAACTTAGAAATACGTAAAGCATGTAACTAAAAGTAACTATAATTTCTTCTACTTTTATTCTAAACTGTTCTAAACAAAGGAACGTCAAAGTTGGTCAAAGTAGTGTTCTTATATGAAACTTAAAACACTTTTACATACGATAAAGAATAATATTAAGAAATTGTTTAACTATGGTAAAATATTGGTTTCTTTGCGAACTAATTGTTCAAGTAAAAAGGAACGAATTCTAGGATTAAGTTTTTAATAAAATTGACGTTTTGACAAAAAGATTTTGTACATGATAAGAGTGACAAGTGATAAGACACGCACATACTTTTGTATTCTTTGAATAAGAATATTTTAGTTGAAAACGACAATGGACGATCAACAGTTAAACAATTTGATTAAATGGTTGGATACATTTGATATTCAAGCACCTCACTCAACAGCAGAGGATATAAGTGATGGTGTTGCCTTAGCAGATGTTTTGGCACAGATTGCCCCAGAATGGTTTACAGCTGTTTGGAGAGTAAAAATTAAAAGTGACGTCAGTTCTAATTGGCGTCTTAAAGTTAGCAATCTTAAAAAAATAATTGAAGCCGTAATAGAGTATTATATAGAATGTTTAAATCAACAGTTATCTGGTTATGTCAAACCTGATGCAACTAGAATCGGAGAACATTGTGACAAACATGAATTACATCGGTTATTACAATTAATTCTTGGATGTGCTGTTAATTGTAATCAGAAACAGCAATACATAACAAGAATCATGGGCATGGAAGAAACTGTTCAACAAGCTATTATGCAAAGTATTCAAGAATTGGAAAGTAATATGAATGGGCCGAGATTAAGTTTAGGCACCAGCCTTAATTTTGAATCATTGGACATAGCTGATGGTACCCAGCAAAGATTATTAGCAGAGCTTCAATTAACTGCTGACATGAAAGAACAGTTAGCACAAAGGTGTCACGAACTTGATCAACAATTGTCACTTCTGCAAGAAGAAAAAGCGGCATTGGTTGCAGAAAATAAGAAGCTTCAAGAACGATTAGATGAATTTGAAAATCCAGAAGAAAGTGGTTCCATTATAAAATACTCCGGCCTTAGAAAACAGGTGGAAGCACTCAAAGATGAATTATTTAAGGTTGAAACTTCTAGAGATGATTATAGATTAAAGGTAGAACTATTAGAGAAGGAAGTATTGGAATTACAATCTAAGCAAGAAGATTTACAAAAAGCTGCGGATGAAGCTAATAACTTAAAGGATGAAATAGATGCATTAAAAGAGACTGCAGATAAGGTATCTAAGTATGAACTTACAATAGAGTCATACAAAAAGAAAATGGAAGATTTGAGTGATCTTAGAAGGCAAGTTAAGATATTAGAAGATAAAAACCTAGAATATTTGCAATCTAAAATAGACTATGAAGAAGAATCAAAGCGAACCAATATGTTACGTAATCACTTAGAAGTTTGTAAACAACAACTTGCCGAAGTTCATCATAAATTAGATGAGCAAACTAATAAGTGCGATAAGCTTGAATTTGAAGGAAAGAAAATGGAAGCAAAGTTAAGTACTTTACAAAGAGAAAGAGATAGGTTGATTGTTGAACGAGATGCTTTAAAAGAAACGAATGAGGAATTAAAATGTACACAGTTACAAACTGCAGAAAATATGATGAAACCCAGCACTGACATTGCAAATGCAGAAATGATCCCACTTGAAATTAAAGAAAAGTTATTGTGTTTACAACATGAAAATAAGATGTTGAAACTCAAGCAAAAGGGAAATGAAGATAAACTACCTACAGTACAGGCTCTAATAGAAGATTCAGAAGAACGAATAAAAAAACTCAGAGATCAAAATCGTGAGGCTAATCAAAGAATACTTGAACTAGAAAATAAATTGGAAGAGGCAGTGGGGAATCAGACAAGTGGAGAGAATAAAGCTGATAGTACCAACTTGGCACAAAAAATAACACAATTGCAAAATGAATTAAGAAAAGTGCATGTAGAAAAAGAACGTATAATTCTCCAAATTGAAGAAAGAGATAATTCATTGCAAAGTCAAAAACAAATGGTTTTTGCATTACAAGAAAAGTTAACACGTAAAGAATATGATATTACAGCGCTTGAAGAACGTTATAAAAAATATGTTGAAAAGACAAAAAGTATTATAAAATGTTTGGATCCTAAACAAAGCAATTCGTCTCCCAATGTAGTAGCCGTATTAAGAAATCAAATTTTAGAACTACGGAAAATTAAAGAAGAAATGGAACGATCTTTGAAAGAATCAAAATTAATTAAAGAAATGGAAGAAAAATTAATGACGTCTGCCTTTTATCGTTTAACCTTAACATTACACAGAGAAGCAATAGATCAGCGTCTTGCAGCCTTGCAACCTCAGGGACAATCATTTTTAGCAAGACAAAGGCAGCCATCTGCAAGATTCCACTTGCCTTATAATTCTAAGTAAAGAAATATAGTATAATAAGTATACTAAGTTTGATATATATAATATACTAAATACTGCTACACAATGATGGATATTGGTAATAAATATTGGTACAAGATTTAATTTTTACAAATTATTAAATTTTAATTTTTTATTTTATAACTGTAAAATTATGAAAGAATATTGAAAAAACGGGCATGTAATTGTATATATATGCTTTATGTACAATAGTCGTTTTACGTTTCTGCAGGATAATAATTGTGTATACAGATTGTGTATAAATTTATAAATATAAAAATATATTGTATTATGTTCTT